CTATTATTGTCAATGTACTTACAGGATCATTTTCTATTTTTTGCTCATAAGTATTAGCTGATTTAAAATAAGCAAAATCAATTATAATTGATCCATACTTTTGGACAATCTTTTTCGAATTTAGGCTGTAAAATAAAAAGTACAATTTAATTTTGATTTTAAAAACATAGTGTCATTTTTAGTTTGAATAATGTTAATAACTGAATATAGAAAATATTGATATGTTAAAACTGTCGAGCGGAAATAAGAACGATTGTTTCAATATAATATTACTTTATAAATAACGATTTCATAATAATTCGCAAGTATGTAAATAACCTAAAGACAGGTGGCACATAGTCCTTTAATCTCATCAATTCGGCTACAATAGCATTTCCACGGGATACAAGCCGCAATAAATTTTGTCCACAAACATTATTCGCTGCTAAGAAATCACCCATTTCGCGTTTATTTCTTTATTTTAATAAATGCTTTTCGATCCCGAATCTCAAGACCCCGGTGTCCATTTGTATTTTGTATCGTATCGCCTTTGCGTATCATCAGTGTATCATCTAATGATACGGTTGGATACGGTGTCTAGTATTACGATAATGTCGAAGAGAATAATGTACCCTACATTGTAAATAACGCATGTTCAGTTAGTTGTAATAAAATGAATTATGGGTCATAAAATGAGGTGATAGAAAAGTTGGAAGCATTAGTCAAAAGTGAAAAATATAACAAACTCTATCGACAGCATAACAAAGCGTGTACAGTTACACAATAATAATGATGCTCCTGAATACTTTGTCTTGTAGATGTATATCAAATTCCATTCACAAATTACGAATTGTTTATCAATCATTAGCAAAAAATGCTAAATATAGAAAACCTGTGATCTATCAATCTTTTCATTCTTCACAGAAATGTACGTTTAAAGTAAAACATGCAGTAAGGTAACACAGTTTTATTTGATAATTAATAAAAGAATACTTTGCTTTTAAATAATTTCCTATAAGATATGTGTGTATATACAGATTTAGTAGTGAGGAATTTGTAGCTGAGGCAAACATAAACACAAAAGTAAAAAATAATGTAATATTATATAAAAATGAAAGGACACGTGATTTCATGATGTTAAAAGTAGTTTTCTATGGATGGCTGTTCGTGGTTGGTCTAATGGGAGCTGCTTCTTATGATCCTAGATATATTAAGACATGGTCTAATTATTCAAACTGGTCTGATTATTTAAGAGCTAATGGATCAGGTTTATTATACTTTGGATATGCTGTTCTAGTAGGTAATATAAAATATGAAACGAATTTAACATTTGAACATAATTTCAAAGCTTTTACACATAATATTTATTTTAATATTTACAGGACCCTTGGCCTGTGTTTTACTATACACTTTGAATGAAAGGATTATAAGATACATCATCTTACACAAAGGTGGTAATAAAATAACTGTCATCACTAATCATTTATTTAAAAGCAGTCACAGTTTGACTATTCCTGCTGGTGAGGTATGTTTTCACTGAAATTTAATATTGATTTTTATATTTTTTAAATCTTGTATGTTTCTTAAGGTGCAATCTACTTTATCGAGGGAAAATATGAAAAATTACTTACCAATCAAAATCAAAGGCAGAAGCTTTTATTTTATTCTTGATGGTCAAGGAAAGTTTTTAAACGCAAAATTATTTGATCATACTGTTGCATGTAGAAAAATGTGGAGGAAGTAAAATATATCTTATATTTGTTACAGATTATTTATTCTAAATAAATATTTAATTGTAACATGATTAATGGATATGTCTTACGTTTTTTTACTGCATCAGACACAACTGTAAACATTGTGTCATGTACTTTGATACCATGTATATAAAGTAATATACAATACATATAAAAATAGTCATTATTTTAAACAAAATATAGTTCCATGAACTATATTGCCAACACGTGTTAATCTATAGTTAGTATATATAATATACATTTCTTTGTTTTAATATCTCTGTCTATCGTATGATTTATGAGAATATTTGCTCATTCGATCACTGTATCCGTCGTCGTGATATTTATCTTCTGCTTTATAGTATACCTCAGGCGCTGAGCCTACGTGTCCCTGCCAGTATCGTGTCCAATATAGATCCTCGGGATTAATGTCATGCGGATGTTTTGCATTTCTAAACACATGTACACAGTATATGAGACTTCCTAACAGTGTTAGGAATCCAAACACAAGAAACACTATTCCCAAGATCCTACGAAAACAACAAAATTTTCTTTATATGATGCACTTGTAAATTCATGATACGGCATGTGCAAGGTGTACTCACCAAACTATCAAGGGTTGAAAAAATTGTATCACTATAACAAACCCTAATGCGACAAGGATTAAACCAAGATTAAGTAACAGCATAAGGCAGCAGACTCCTTTAGTATTTGGACAAAAAGGATTAGGTGTGGACATCGTTTCTATGATAATACCATCTTTTCTAGATGTTTGGGACTTTACAGATTTCGCGGAACCGTAACTGTAATGACTAGGCGTACGATGACCTAATCTTGAACTGGGGTGCGACACGTGGCTGGTAAATTGAAAAATAGAGAATTTTATAGTATGATTTTATAGTATGACAGAGATAAGAAATGTCATACTCTTATGTTTTCAACCTTATATCAGAAGTTGTTCTGTACGCAGCGCTCGTAATGTATATATCTGAACCATTGTCACATATGCTACCATGCGAATTACTTTTGCTAAGGGGATGAAGACTATGTCTTGATGAACCAGATAATACCGATCCACGACTATTGTGTACATTTCGGGAATGTCGTCCTTCTTCTTTCTCATATTTTTCCGGATGGTCCTTCTTCGATTTCACCTAAGTAATTTACGTCGTATTAGTTACATATATTGCAATTTAATAGTGAAATTACATGCGTTACAAATTACCATTGTCGTGTGGTCAGCGGATACAATGTATTCAGATACTGTACGATCTGATGGAGCACGGTGACTCTCGTCCCCATCTGTCAAATATTCTCTACTTCTACTTATATTACTATGATATCCTAAGTACCTTGAATTGTTTGTCATTGCGATAAGTATATTTGCACTGTTTGTTTAATAGGTATGAAATAATCTGTTTTAAAATTCCAGTACATAATTATACAGTGCACTAAATCTTAAATTAATTTTATGCATTTCCAAAATATAAAATTTAAACAAAACTTACTTATTATAAATAATGAGAGAGAGAGAGAGATTTCAACTTTACAGAGTTACATGTTACTTGATAGCATCACCTGCAAAAATCATGTAATATAATAAATGCCGCTGTTGGATATATTCCTCATTTAATACATATTTAAGTAATAAACTATTGTATGTAGATGTGTGATATAATGAATATTTTAAAGCGATGCGGAGGCAGAAAATTAGGAGTGTCCATTTTCACAAATGAATTGTAAAGCAATTAATTATTAGAGTCCTTCAATCCTACGTTATATGTGACATCGTCAACATGTATGCCGCAGGTAACAGAAGTCCTAATTTAGTAACGTGATGTCATTTGTCAAGGCTGTATGCATCTTCGATCTATAGCAAGATCATTTCGAATGCATTCCACAATTTTTTGTCAACATATTTTTTA